CTTTTGTCTATATTGTTTACAGACGACTGACTCTTTAAAGAATTTCCTTTTTTTAAGAAGCTCTGTATTTCTACTGCACATGTTTTATTATTAATTTCTTTTCTTTTGTTTACCATATTTAGTTAAATGATTGTTCTTAATAGCAGTTACAGAGTGACGCCACAAGATAATTTATTAAGGAGTAAGTAGGGGCAGGCACGCCGAGAGAAATTCGGGGGTAAATATGTATGTTCCCGGGCCCACGACAACCCTTTCTGCCACGCCAACAAAATAATTTTCCATTTTCGAACGAATTTCCAACGTTTTCTCTCTATTAGTACTTACTTGTTCAGTGCTTTTTGAAGTGAAACTTCTTAGGTGGCGGTATCGCACAAATGGAGAGTGAAATTTTTTAAACTGAAAACGTTACATGAGTGAGAAGGAAGATATAGGTAGTATAGGGAAGAGGAAAAAAGAAATAAAGTGACGCCTGACGGGTACGAGTACCTACATATGTATATATGTATTTTTTAATGCACGTATGTATGTGTACATATATATATGTATACATATATCAAATAAAACACCTCTTTGAGGTAAAATTTTCGAGTGACGAAAGCTGAACTAGAGACACAAAATTTATGATATCAATTTCGTGACGAAAATTATACGCATTTTTTAACTGCCTTGGAAACGTAGGGAAAATCTTTTTTTGTTTATACGAATCGTTGCAAAAGTTCTGTTTTTTATTTTGTGTTTCTAGCAGTAGACTGAATTTCGCAACGTTCCGAATAAATAAAAAAAGATTGTACGCACCTTTTAAAGGCAGCTAAAAAATGCGTATAATTTTCGTAACGAAATTGATATCATAAGTTTTGTGTATCTAGTTCAGCTTTCGTCACTCGAAAATTTTACCTCAAAGAGGTGTTTTATTTGATATATGTATACATATATATATGTATACATACATACGTGCATTCAAAAATACATATATATGTACATATGTAGGGTAGGTACTCGTACCCGTCATGCGTCACTTTATTTCTTTTTTCCTCTTCCCTATACTACCTATATCTTCCTTCTCACTCATGTAACGTTTTCAGTTTAAAAAATTTCACTCTCCATTTTTGCGATACCGCCACCATCACATCGCCACATCAATTAATTTGGGGTAGCAAATTTAAATTCGACGAAAATACAAACAATAATCCAAATGTTTTATTTTCTCTTTCTATGTAAATCTAAATTATCTATTCAAATCGATGAGTCCATTGAAACATATAATTTTTCGAATACGGAATAAAGCGAAAAAGAATGATCATATCATCACTAGACACGAATAAAGGCGCGAACTCAAAAGTTGACGGCGAAAAAAGACGCATAAAAAAACTTTAGCATCAAAAACTCTTAACATACTTCGCCGAAGATTTTATAAGCATCTTTTTTCGCAAAAATTTTTTACGCGCCTTTTTTCGCCGCCAAAACGCTATCGCGCCCTTATTCGTGTGTAGTGACGATATCCTTTGTATTAAATTTTTATTATATTAAAAAATTAAAAATAAAGAATTATGAGAAATGATAAAAACTTATCAACTTGGTACCAACTTTGGATACAATAAACAACTGTATTCGTCTGATAGTCTCGTAGTTTATTTTTGTTAAGATTTCTACCGGGTGTGGGGCGCACACATGTGCTTTTTTTAAGAAGTTTTACTTCTATCACGTGTACGATGTTACACTCGTGCTATTAAACTAATGCTCTTTTTTCAAGTAGTTTTGCTCAGTGGCAATTTGTACATATGTACGTATGTAAGTAGTAGCGGCACATTGGGTGAACTAAATGCATTTATACATACATATTTATGTACAACTGTAGGTAATATTGTACGCGTCTTCCCAGGTAGGTTAAGTGCGGGTGATAAACCCATGTAGCATAGTTAAATATTGTGTACATACCTGCAATTAAAATGGGGAAGAATGTTACAATTTCTAAGATACGCACAAATTGTGGTTTCCAAGGCATGTACGAAGTGATTAGCACAGCTGCATCCTTCAACTTGTCAACTCGCGGGAAATACACCGATTTGCAGGGAATTTCGGTTTAAGTGGCAATCGGGGAATGGGCGATTTTTTTCGGGGAACCGGGTATGTTATTTTTATATCTTAAAGTAACCAAATTAGACGGATATGTTAATTTTTAACCATTTGACACTTTTTGGAGCGACATTTTATCAATTTGAATAGCAATATCTCCACAACAAGAGTTTTCTCAGATATAAGCTTCATACCAGATAAAACCTAATGTTTTGGGCTAGATTTGTGGAGACTTAGAATAAAATTGACTGACCAGTTTTTGAGAAAATGCCCGAAATGTATATTTTCAGCAGCCCGATTTTTAGTTTTCAGGCGATAACGTTATGACATAAATATTTATATTTTATAAACACAAAAGATAGCGTTGGATAGCTTGTTTGAAGGCCCTTCTACTGATATCCTTATCAATGACATGGACTGAGTAGTGCGGCCTCAGTGGTAGTTAAAAAAATTGCCTTTTTTTCGAATTTCAGGCAGCAGCCACGCCCTCAAAGGCATACGAATCAAGGCATGCTGGAACAAAAGCTTCTTAGTTTTTTGTGTACTTTAATTTCTGAAAGTTTGAAAAAAATGAAATGATGGTACGTACAGACGCCACATACATACCAAAGCTTCTCGTAGTGGAGACACGAACCAAAACACATTTACCTCTATATCTTTCCAACTAGTGGCGGGAATATATGAAAATACATATGTTGGGTGTGCCCACATGCCCCCTTAAACCGGCAAAAGCAAAAAAACATTTTTTGTTTCGCAACACTTTAGCCTAATTTTTAAGAATCTGGTTAATGGTTTACGAAGCTTGAATATATTTTCTGGAGACACTCTGCAAGACCTTTTCAACGATATATCAAACATGTCGATTGGAGGTCTGGATAAAAACTTCCAAATTTCGTGTATATATAAGCGAGTCATTTCAGCATGCTACTGTTGCTGCTTTCGTGACTCGCGCACACTGCCGGCAAATTCAGTAATGTGGGCAATAGATAGAGTTAATAAAATACATATGCATTAAAAAAAACTACAAAAATCACATGACCGTTTTACGTACGTATGTTAAGCGCCAGTGTAGGTGTGGTTCCTAATGCTCCGCTAATTTCTGTTTTACAAGTGTAGCCTTCTCTAGTGAGTTCCACCAGACAAGGGCTGCTTGAAACAATACAGGCTTAAATCTGGTTCCCTAGAGCTAATGATTTAATTTTAATTTTACCAATAGCTCCCCTGCAGCAGTACAAGGCAACCGACACCTTTGCTACCCTTTCCTCAATGTTAGGCTTCCACGACAGCCGCCGTTGATCGCCCACCTAGTTACCTGGTTCAGGTAATCTTAAGCCAGCCAGATCGAAAAGGGTGTATAGAAACCAAAAGTTCCACATCATCTACATAGACGATCACCCGACAGCTCACTTTTTCCAGTTACTCTAGAAGGTCATTTACAACCACAGTCCAGAGCTCCTATTGACTCTGCACTGTGTGCAGACGCTCACCCACTCCGCCACGACAGTTTTGTCACGAAGTAAGCTGTAGATAAACCTTATTAGGTTTGTTTAAACCCCTATATTATGAGTATACTTGACTATTGTCTTTGGAGTGACATTCTTGAATGCCCCTTCACCGACCTTTTCTTGCAATAGACATATTAAGCTCTTGAAAAACAGTCACGAAGAATCGCGTTTCTTATGTACAGGTCTATCAGTCCATATAGCGCTTTTAGCAAAAGCGTTTGTAGCAAAAACGAAGAGACTGATAGGCCTAAAATCCATAGGCGAAACATTAGAGCCTTTTCCGGCCATGTGGCGATCACCCAGAAGATCGGAGTAGTATAGGACCTGGGGGGGAGATTCTGTAACCAGTTAGCGGCAATTTTCGAATCGCTTTTACACTTTTGACGCGAAAACATTTATATCATGCGTCAAAAAGTGCGATAGCGTTCTGAAAATTGTCGCTCACTAGTTACAGAATCTCGCTCCTGAAGTAAAAAATATCGCAAAGAAGTACATTTGGCTGTACTTCGAAGTACGAAGTACAAGAGCGTAAAAAGAAGTACTGTATTTCCGAAAGAAGTACGGTTGGTCACATTTGGCATTCATGAGAAGTGCTAGATCTAGGTTCCATCCAAAGTTATAAGTAGGTTTGAAGACTACAGATAGAGTGGAAAACTCGTAAAGGATATCAATGCTGCAAGCGGTATAATAGTCGGCGAATAATGCAGATCCACATCCTATATTTCACATCACGATGCTACAGTTGTACAACACCTATTCAACTTAAGGGTAATATCTGGGATTTAGAAAAGGTGCTACAAACTTCAATAGTGACTTAAGACTAGGCTGCTAAAATATCTGCGTAGTTACCAAGACAGCTACTTTTTGCTCAGCTATCAATTGGTCGAAACCGATTAAATCTTACCCAAATATTTTCGGCAAAGATTAGGCGTTTGGTGCTTATGATTTTTCACTGTAGTCTTCAGTCAGTAAATAGTCAGTAGGCTAATTGTTAACAAGCAGTTTAGGAAAGTATTAAATTAAATAAAGATTCAAACGGGTTTATTTCTGCAAACTGATTATATCTTTCACTATTCTGGTGTATATAAACAAGAACATGTATTTATCTATATATGCGAATATACTTGTAAAAACAAGTTCAATACATAACTCGCCACTAATAGTCCTATGGACGTGGTACACATCTTTTTTGACAGGCTGCAAGTGAACAGTAACGGTTCGCATTGCCACCACAGCCAATATAACGGAAGCTGATGCAACTTCTACTTTGCCGGTTGTAGTACCACCTTACACCAGGTATGCATCCTGGACCTCCACTACCGCTATCCACTGCAGCTCTACAGCTACGGATCCCTATAAAAAAAAAAAATATTACAATTATACTCATTACGAAACAATTTTCAATGAAAATGTTTGCATTATACTTACGTGGTGCATTCGGGCACTGGGCCAGAGTTTGTTCAAAAAACAGAAAAGCGAGTGTCAGTGCTAATAAGTAAACAACGCACTTCATTTTGAATGATTTAAAAGTGTCACTTGGTATAGAATCGAAGTAATTTCAGTTACTGATAACTTTTCAGTCGGCAAAGAAGCTTTTATAGCCATAAGATCTTGCACGCCATGCTGGCTTCATTTGCTATTCTACTTGTATATGCTTTTGTCTTCTGTTGTTTGCAGACTGACTTTGTACTACATGTGTTTTATTATTAATTTCTTTTCTTTTGTTTCACCTATTGAAAGAAATTATATATACCTATATCTATATATATAATCTATTTGCATATATAATACGCGAAGGAATATTTTGTGTTGAACAAAAGATCTGTACCGTTTGCCAGATTTTCAAAAACGAGATGTCAAATTAAAGAGCTTGGTCTGTAGATGTGCAAACTGGTTTTAGTTTTTCGAAAAGAGTTGCCACCTGTTGAACAATTAAACTCAAATTATTTAATTATTAAATGAGTTGTAAAACTAAAAGCCATGGACTGTATGTGCAATAAGATTTGACTTTTTTGAGAAGAGTTGCCACCTTTTAAAAAATTATATTCAGATTATTAAAATAATTATATTAAAATTACTTAGCAAAATAACTAAATTATTACAAAATGGGTTTTAATCGAAATGGTTCTGAAAAGTTTTGTTTCTTAGCTGAACTATAGGAGGGTTGCCATCTGGTTAGACAGTCATATTACGAATATATAAGAAAAATACGTACCACCATATGGGTGTCACACGAAAGAGGTTTCAGAAATTAGTAGTTTGAAAATATTTTAAAGAGGGTTTGCCAGCTGCTTGAAATGTCCAATTTAGTTTACTTATTTATACACAAGTTATATAAAATATCAATATATAGATGCCAAACGAAGGAGTGTTAAGAAATCTTTAGTTTGAACGCTAAGAATATTTTCCAGGTATTGGAAGAGGGTTGCCACCTGTTTAAAAAGTTAAAATCAAATTATTTAATGAGCTAAATGAATGTTGTGAAATTTTTTTTGCTAAACTGTATTTAGCGGAGTTACCAGCGATGGAGAGTTAACAAGGATTAAGCTGGAAAATACTTTTGAAGAGGGCTGCCATCTTTCAACGGTCTATCTTAATTAACTAAAAGAAAACGTGCATATATGAAATATACAAATATCGTTATCAAACGAAAGAATGTTAAGAAATATTGAGTTTGACGTTTGGAATATTTGAAGAGTGTTGTTTAAAAAGTTACATTCCAATTATTCAATAACCTTGATGGATTATTAAAAGATGGGTATCAAGCGAAATGGGTTTGAAAAGGCTTTATTCCTGATCTTTATTTAGGAGGGTTGCTATTTGTTCGAACAATCAAATTCAAATTAGTTTGTTGAAATTCTTTTGAAAAGGAATTTCAAAAATGAGAGGTCAAATTAAAGACCTTAGCCTTTAGATGTGTGATAAACTTTTATTTTATTTTTTTCAATTAATAACTTTTTTCATCGGTATAGAGTGACTTCAAATTTGACGATTTTAAAAACATGCACTATGCGAGACTGGCACTCGGATCTCTTATAACTATGACTAACATTTGGAATATTTTTTAAGCTTTTGAAATTAAATTTTGGCCATTTTGACGCCATGCGGGTTGACTAGTTGTTCCTAATTGCAGTTTCAGAGTGAGGTCACAGGACAATTTTTTAAGGATACCCGACTTTTTACTTTGACAACTGTGCTACTTTATTGCAGATCGCTGGCTATTGTATTTAGTTAGTTTTCATAGTGTTGGAAAATTATCAGAACGCTAATTACTCGTTTCGGCAATTCATCATGTTGTCGAGTAATTCTTTGAAATATATGTATACTACATTAGATAGAGTGTTCCCAGAAATTCCTAATCGGGAGGCGGTTTGTTAAAAAACAGTTTAGGAAAGGATCAAATTAGATAAAGTTTGAAATAGGTTTATTTCTGCAAACTACATCTTATATATAAAAATTAGTGCACGTTTTTGGTGTGACCTCATAACTTGAGAACGGCTTCACCGAATTCAACCAAATTTATGCGGCATATTCGGGCTATCATGCAGATAGTTTATGTGGAGTTTGGAAAAGGGGGCGTGGCATATGTATCTTATGTATAATAAAAAAAAGTACGCGTTTTTGGTGTGAGCTTATAACTTGAGAACAGCTTCACCGAATTCAACCAAATCTATACGGCATAGTCGGGCTATTATGCAGATGGTTTGTGTTAAGTTTCACCGAATTCGGAAAACGGGGCGTGGCACCACCCAGTTGGCATTCCAAACTATTTATTTACTCATACCCAAGATGGAAAAACAAAAAATGTTGTATATCCAAATGTGTTGGATTAAGATTTAAAATAATCAAAAATTTTGAAATAAAACCAATGATAAATTTTCATATGGAAAAATTCCAGGATTTTTCATCATTCATTTTTCAATATTTGGTGTAGAGAAGCCCACTGGGGTACCTATATATAGTACATATATATTTATTCTATTACTCTGGTGGATATGAAGAAGACACATGTTCGTGCATAAATACATACATAAGTTTAATGTAAAACTCGTCTCTAATATCCTAACCACGTGGTACACATCTTTGTTGACACGCTGCACGTGAACACCAACGATTGTCGTTGCCACGACAACCATTATAACGGAATCTGTTGCAAGTTCTAGTTGCCGGATTGTAGTACCACCTCGTAGCACGTCGGCATCGTATACCTCTCCTTCCCCTATCCCGTCGCCCACTGCAGCTAGGGTTCCCTGTGAATATATATTTATACATACATATTTTCAAGTCTATTCATTATACGAATCGCTTGTCACTAAACATGTTTTCATTGCACTTACGTGGTGCACGCCGGCACTGGGCCAAAGTTTGTTCGAAGAACAGAAAACAGAGTACTAGTGCTACTAAGTAAATAGCTAACTTCATTTTGAAGGTTTGTAAAACGCCGCTTGATATAGAATCGAAGTATTATCAGTTACTGAAAATTTTCGAACTGGCAAAGAGGCCTTTATAGCACAAAAATCGTACATATAATTACTGCTTTATCCGCTATTTTATATATCTTGAGGCACGAATTTTTTTTAAACAAACTCTGATTTTTAGATAACGTAAATGTGTTTTATTTATTATTAATTTCATTTCTTTTGTTAATCATATTGAAACAAATGACTGATCTCAATAACAGCTTTAGAGTGGGGTCAGCAGATACTTAAAGAAGGAGTAGGTAGGAATTATTTCAGTTGTTTACTTTGAGATATTTGTTACTTTAGTTGCGTTCTTTATCTCCCATAAATAGTCAGAAAAAGTCGGAAGTAGTCAGATTTAGTCCAAAAAGCGGTACAGAACTCCGGGTGCTTAGTCGGATCATGATCAGTCCTTATCAGAGGGTGGCAGTGCATTCGTGTCTCTATCTCCGGATATTGGGCGAGTGCACTGAATTCCTCTGGTTCAGGCTGCTCTTGAATGATGACCAAGAACTACCGAACCCGTTAAGAGTTACCGAACCTGTTAAGCGACACCGTGCCCAGTGGAGGGTTTTCAGCTAGGGGGTTTACCAGACCGGCTGTATTATAACGGCGCCTCCCTGGCACCGGGCCGTTTCAGGGAGTAGCGGTGGCCTTGCTGCGGCATGGGCGCGCCGTAGTGGACGGCGAGGCCAGCTCCATCGGCTAGGTTGTATCGAGCGGAGTAGTGCGTGGCGTAACTGCTAATACTAGCAGGGTTCTCTCGCCACAGGCCTCCGGAGCTTCGAGGACCTCCGATAGGGTACCTCAGGAAAGGCAAATTCAGACCCTCGCAAGGCCACCAAAATTTTAGAGCGCTACGGCGGTCAGTGTACTGATCAGATAACTGAGCAGCATGCTCGAACGATTGAGTGGCCTAAAAAAGTGCGCAGAGATGCAGAGTCTGCGGTAGCTGCACAGGGGAAGGCAGCTGGTAGCATGAATTCGACGCTATCTAATACGAAGTTCGCTGGAGGGGAAATCACTGTCATTAAAAAACAGCGCACGGGGCCGGCTCCTACCTTTAGCGAAATCGCTAAACTAGCTGGATCTGTAGAACTAGGGGGCATGGACTGTGGCAGAGAGGACGGCGATATCACTCACGAAGATTGGAAGCCTGTGGCGGCTGCCATGTCGGCGGTATTTATGAGGGTGGTCAGGGAAAACCCAGGGCCACCGCATAGGTGTGAGAGAGCTCACGAGGTGCGCCGACGAAGCGGTCGGCAGCGTTATACAAGGAGGCAGTCTCCCTGGTGGGGGAGGTATGGAAGTGTTCCAAGCTAGGGGCCGTAGACAAAGCGGATATTCCGATTCGTCCTTTAGCTCGGGTATGGACACCTACGGAGCTTACCTCTCCAGGGGAGATCGAAAGAATACTCCGGTACTGCCCATCCCTCCCGACGCACAACTGGAGGGTTATCTGCAGAGTACCTCGGTGCTCTCAGTGATACCAAGGGGGTCGTATACTATGGCTTCGAGAAGGTGCTCCTACGGATCCTACCGACTGAAGCCAAAGCTGATGATCCCCACCCTCCGGCAGTATCGGAGGAAGGAAGGAAGGGAGACTCGGCTCCATCGGATGCTGAGAGTATTGGCGGCGGCTGCTCTGCCGGGGGCTCCGTCTTCAGTCTCGTGAGGCTGTTCGATGGGGGCTATGCGGCATCCGCCAATCTTTTGCTCCACCTTGAGTAAGGTGGGGCTGACGTTGTTCTGATCCATGAGCCATAGCTGAGCAGTAGCGTTATCTCTGCAATTAGAACAAGTTACTAAAAGCTGATAGCGGCGAACAGGTATTGCCTGCATGCTTATCATAGGTGAACTAAAATCCTTTATTTTGCATAATTTCAGCAATGAAAATATGATGACGATGACGAGTGAAAGTTTATATATTTGTTTATAACTGCTGCCAGGGAAGGGGTTCTTTCCCTTACACTGGCTTCATCTGAGACATCACCTTTGATCTCGGGTTGGAGAGTTCTGAGCGAATACTCCTTTTCGGATCACAGGTGTATTCAATTATCTTTAGACGAAACGCGTCCTCCTAGCAAGCCCTGCAGAAACCTGAAGAGCACCAACTG